TAATAAATTATAATAAAATTACAAATAAGATTTTATTTAATTTGGGAAGATAAAAAGATAGGGAGAAAAAGATTTTCTTTTTTGAATTCATAAATAAGAAATGTAATATGATAATAAATAGTAATAAAAAGCAACACTTCAGCGTATAAATATGTACATTCTAAATATGTAAATCGTAGAGAAAGGTTGTCAAATACATTGACAGTCCGTTATCTCATGCAAACAGGGAGCAGTGTATTAGACTAGCCGAAGTTCTCAAAGTGATGAATGAAATACGGCAGCCGCCGTGTTTTATTAACTTCATCGCAGGCAGACATGACGCTTTTCGTCAGAGGACGCGGCCCACAGCTAAATACTCCTATTTTGCTAACCTGTAAATCAATAATATCATTCAATTTTTTAAAAAATTTTATATCATTCAATTTTTTAAAAAATAACATCAATAATATTATAACAGATCGCGCAAAAGCACGAAGGACGTTTAACTCTTTATCTTCTTCAAACATCCCTTGAACTTCTATGCGCCGAGCGAATGCATTCTTAATAAAAACTAATATCATGAACGCACATAGCTGTGTTTCTTTTGAACAAATTTCAAAAACGACGTCATGTCCGGCCGACCAAAGTGATTGATGGCCTTCAGACCGGTGAATATACTCTTCTTCGATAGCCTCTGAAAGTGATTCTCACATATGTACTACATATGTGAAGCAAAATTTTATTAATAATTAATCCGATTGAATTAATTAAATATAAGGAGAAATTTTGCGTACATTTTCATCGCATTCGATCATACAAAAATTCCAATATGAATTCACTTACCAGCATAGTAGTACGCAAATCAAACTTATGAAAGAATTGTGTTATAAATATGTGAATTTCAAGCACATCCGTAACGTCTTTTCTCTCAACATCTCTGAGAACGTCAATAAACCATTCGAAATGTTTATGCGATGGGCAGATCCATAAAAAATAGACCTGTACAAAATAAAAAGAAAGTGACATGATACTATCGAATAAAAAAATGGAAGCGTTTTCTTATTTTAATGAGCCGTTAAATTTAACGCAATGGTTTATATAGCCCAACAATATTCCATATTCATGTTTCTCTTTCGACAGTAAAACATACTTTCTAGTAATGAAGCAATCGCCACTTTTGCATCAGCTTTACCGTAACATTTTTAATATGAATATGTATTTTCAATTTCTAATATGAATATACATTTTTAGAAATACTTCTCAAACGATCAAAAACAATTAAATACAATTAAGTTACTTCTTAATTTCGATTATGAATTTCTTTTTATAGAATAAAAATTAATAAATTCTTTTTATCCTTATTCTTAGAAAATTTTCTATGATAATTTTGTATAAAGAATAAATTATAATTTGTATAAAGAAAATAAATATATGTATGTAAAGATATCTTTCAAATTTTTCTCACTTGATTATTTTTTTTCATATAATTTTTATTTTGGTTTGCATTTACCTTCTTACACGCGACTCCTGAATATCTGTTGGTGGAGGTTCCAAATACGAGATCATTGAGCATCGAGGCATAAGGAGTCACCCCGATGCCACCTCCAACCATCACCGCGACCTCAAACTTGTACCAATCCTGATTTCCTCCACCAAATGGACCTTCTATACGAATCTTCGGATGATCATCCTCTGGATTATAATTGCAAGGATCGAAGTAATTACGGAGCTTCCACGTCCACGGTCCTTGAGCTTTTATGTGGCACGATAGAAAATTCTCGTGCGGCGCGGAGGTCAGCGTGAAAGAATGAAATTCATTAGATCTGAAGGCAGTGCAGGCGAGACGTACCCACTGACCCGACAGGTACTTTAAGTTCGGAGGTCTGTAGAATTTGATCTTTATTACGTCGGAGGGTAGTAATTCCGTCTCGATGATATCCAGGGTCATGTATTTAGTTCTCAAGCTGACGACCTGAAATCAGTACTCTGATCTAACATTCTTGATTCTTGATATTTGGCACTTAACGTTATTTTTATATTGCGTTAATAATTCAAATCAAATCATTTTAGCAAAAGACGATTTACATTAAACGAAATATGAGATAATACGTAATATACAAAATATGTTACATCATGCATGATCTCCATACATAATTAATAAATTTTGTAATTATGTGTGACTACGAGTGTGACGCATATATACATGTAAAAAAGGGAATTGTTCTTTTTCTTTGTCACTGTTCTACTTCCCGAAAAAGTGGGTATAAAATTACTTTATCTAGCGCGTAAATGATTGCCGGGCCGACGAAGAATATCCAGAATCGCGGTTCGCCTGTCAAACGGGCTAAACCATGGATGAGGCATAATGCATATAGTACTACGTAGAGACTATGCGTCGACCAAAAGAACTTGTAGGCTTTCTGTCGTATGGTTGGATGTGCGAAGACGAAAATAATCGTCATGATGACGAAGAGAAGAATACCGGTTAAACCTGCAATAAAAGTGAAATAAGGGAATCATGTCAAAGTTCTGGATGTCCAATGAAATTGTGAAATCTTTGGCGAGAACACCTACCGGTCACTGTTCTGAACAGCCAAAAAGAGATAGTAGGCCGCGCGTCGCTGGGAAAGCTGATTTCACTAGTGAGGCAGCGAAGATGAGCTATCGGCTGTGTAGAAACGTGATAAAAGTTGACTATGTGACCGACCGTATGCAGCACAGAGAAAAAAAGTGCCGTACATGCTGCGATCTTATGGAATTGTATGTGCGAGTCTAACGGGATGTACTGCTGAATCGAAAATTCCTTCAACTTCGTCAATAGATTACGCGACATTGTTAATAGCAGGAGACTGTAACAGAAGGACAGTGCGGCTGCTGATCCTCTGGTTATGGCGATTCCCACGCCCATTATATGTCTGAGGTCCGTATGTTCTGCCATAAAAGAATAATCTGCGAAAAAAAGGCAAGAGATTGAAATTGAATTTTGCAGCAAACGAACAACAGGATGCTTTCTGAACAAATCACATATTCAAAAGAATTAGGAAAAATTATAATAATAATATAACATAATAATATATTATTATATATATAATATGATAATATAATATAAAAAAATATATTACATATATTCAAAGATGTCTAGAAAAATCAAAGTATATTTAGACATGTTTTGAATTTGTTCTACTTGAGATCGATGAAATACTCACGAATAAATCTCTCAACAAAAAGAGCTATGGTGACCACGTAAAACACAAAGAGGTAGAATATATTCTGCCTGTTCTCTTCGAGAAAAGTCGATATGGCATCCCATTGCTTTCGAGTCCAGCTTTTCGAATCTTCCGGGGGTAGTTGATCGATATGAAAGCTGGTCATACGAGCAACATTCGTCGATGTGTCGAGAAAATTCTGCTTGGCACCCTTGCAATCGAGACCGATCGCGACGAAATCACCTTTATATTCCTTCATCATCAATTTAAAATCGTTGTATGTGAGGTAGTTCTTCCTCTCAAGTCCAGCATCCTGATTAATAAGAGATTTAGCAGTTATCGCGATAACAAAAGACATTTTAAAATAAATAAGCTACCATAATTAAGCTACCATAATGATGTGAAAATAATAAAAAATGGAACCTGGAACATGCCGTCGATCAATTCTGTGACATGATCATCCGAGAGACTGGTGGTACGCGCTATTTCCACCAATGACCTCAACATCTCCGACAGTTCTTCCTTGTCGATCACGCCGTTGCTATCCTTATCGCACATGTCGAAGATGATACGCAACTTGTCCTCAGTTTTGCCACGTGAGAATAGCAAGACCGTGTCCAAGAATTCCTGGAATGAATCGCTCTTCGCTGATAATCGTCAGACAAGATAAGAAAGTTATATTCAGACAAAATGGTAAAAGCGCAGCTTCGATGAAGCGAGCGACAATTATACCTGGAAAGAAATCCGGCCGTCACCATCTTTGTCAACGATGTTGAACATTTTCTTCACGAAGACTGCGTCGGGCCGCATGCCGAGAGCACTTGCAAACTCGCTCTTGGAAAGCGATGTGCGCATTACCGTGACGACCTCTCCGGTATCACTGTCTTCAGACCGCCGCCTTCGTTCGCCGGGCCGTAAACCGAAAGTCAACGCGTATGCTTCTCTGAAGAACTAACAACATTTCGCAGTGTTATCGGGAATGTCATAATCCTTCCATGTATATAATTAATACTATAAATTTATATGTAGTATAATAAGCGTGTGGAGCGAAATTGCTACTTTATTTTAAAACACATAACTAAAAACACAACTAAAAAAATTAAGTAAATAATATAATAGAGAATTAAGAACCACTCAGGATATTATGTATGTGTAACAATATAATTATATATAATATTAGTTCTATATTATATTGTTTAATTTATTTAATTATTTGACCATTTTTATTTATTGAATTTAAAAAAAATTAAGTTTCTCAAAAAATGAGATAAACTATTTTTTTCCATTTGACCGAAAATTATTGACGAATCAGATAACAGATAAAAAGAATATATTCATAACATAATCAAATGCGATTTTTATTTGACAAACCTTTAAAAAAACCTCTTTTGAATTGTAAAGATTTTGATTTTCTTATAAAGTTAAATTAGTTTATTTTTTATAAAATGAATAATGTTTGCCTAATGCATTCATAGAAATAATTCACAAAAAAGCTCTTTTTGTGTCATTCTTGAAGTAGGAGAGCGAAATAAATTATATGTATACTTATACATATATTTATATATATATATATTTTCGAACTTATACATATATTTTCGTATACAATTATACGTTCATATTTCTCTTTTCTTTTTTATTAATTAAGAAATTATTTCTTCATGAGATATTAATCCACGTTTCAATGAACGGAGCTGCGTAC